CCCCCCCCCTTAAATTATAGGCATTTTCTGGTATTTCTTGATATTTTCAGATAGAGATGTATCTATTGCTTGGAAAATGAGAATTTAGGTCTCTTCCCTACCACTCCCTCCCAAATACACCTCTTTTCCCATATCTGATAATGCTTACATTAAGGATAGTTAATTACATTAATTTACATTACAGTAGTGTTCACATTTTTCTTATTAATTACATGATTACAGACAATACATAATTTAGCACAAAATCCCGATAGTTACCGCACACATGGAAGTAACACGGCTTACTCTATTAAGACTGGTGAATTAGCACATGGCCATCACCTTTGGTTGTGGTGGTTGTGCCTTGTGCAGACTTTTGAGTCATCTGTTCTGAGGAAGGGGGACTTTTTAAAATTAGTAACAATTAGAAGGGGTAATTCAGTTTTTCCCTTCGATGGGCATCAATTTCTAGCCAAGCAAGACAAAACAAAGCATCATGTCTGCCCAGACGGGATCTTTAAATTTATTTTCTTAGACAAAAATGGAATTGATAATTCGTTCACGTGTTCAACCCATATTTTTAAATACCTCCTATGCTTGTGGCACTTTTCCAGAAACTATGGTACGGAGGTAAACAAAAGACAAAGTCTCTGTCCTCTTGGAACCAACAGGTTGGGAGAAACAGATGAGCAAATGAAGAGAATATATCAGGGAATAATGAATGCTACGAGGAAAAACAAAGTGCTGTGGGATATGGAGAAGGTGCTGGAGGGAGGGAGCAGAGAGTGCTAACCATTTTCCAGTGCCCATCGGTCCCTTCCTTTTAAAAAATTAGTAATAGATCCGAAGCAGCTGGATGCATTCATGTGACTAAATCCTGGCCAGTGGGATGTGTTAGTGTATCTACGACCTGCTGTGACTGATCTAAAGCAGTGTTGGTCTGTTTCCCTCTGCCCCTCTCTTATTTCTGCCTGCTGGGATGTGGATGCAATGGCTTGAATTTTTGAGTTATGAAGTAGAAGCCACATGCTGAACTGGCAGAACAGCAAGAGAGAAGCAGCCTAGGTTCTGACGCCGTGGAACACCATAGTAGGAGCCTTGGACTGCCCATCTCTGGGCCTCTTCTACATGAGAAATCATCTAGTTTTTAAAGCCACTGCTGTGTGCCTTAGACCTATAATCTTAATCAATAGGAGGGTGACTATTTATTTTTCTCCCTCTTTTTTTTGCTTTGTTTTCCTTATACCTTTCATTAATTAATCACCAAACTTTTTGCCAAAAGAATACCTCGGTTGTGCCGGTTCACTCCCCACCCCGGGTCATTGCGCATGCAAGAGGCAACCAGTTGATGTGACTCTCTCACATCGATGTCTCTCTTTCCCCTCCCCCCTCGTCCTCCCTTCTACTCTCCGTGAAAAGCAATGGAGGGGAGGGGAGGGGAAAGAATACATTTCTTCTCAATATGATTAAATCTATTTATCAGTTTATCTGTTTCATCCAGAGTTATCTTTTGGGAGTCCTTTGTTCTCTTGCTTGTGTGGTCTAGTTACTGACCTGAGGAATCTGATTTGCCATGTGTTGGACCTTCTATTTCTAGGATTTTGGGGTTTTTTTGTTTTGTTTGTTTTTTTACTTCTAATTTTAGGAGAGGCTACAAGGAAATTAGAGTTTTGAGACTCGCATCTCTAGAAATGTTTTATTCTGCCAACTCTCTAGATTCATATTTTGGGTGGGATAGAAGTCTACATTGGAAATAATTTTTCCTCATGTTTTTAAAGGCAATTCTCCATTTTCTTATAGCTTCTAGTTAGACATTTATGCCATTCTCCATCCTATTCTTAGTATGTGACTTGTTTCTCTTCCTCCCTTTGGAAACTTTCATGTTTTTCTCTTTGTTCCTGTGTTCTGAAATTTCACAATAATGTCTCTTGGAGTATTTTTTCTTTCATCCCTTGTTCCTCACTCAGTGTACCCTCTTAATTTGGACACTTTTCAATCCTGAAAATTTTATTGTTTTTCTTGGATTTTTTTTCTTGTCAATTGGAACTTCTGTTATTCAGACACTGTGCCTCCACTTGATCTTCTATTTTCTTTCCTCTACTATTTTACACTTGTACTTTTTTGGCCTGGGTTTATTTGGGTAATGTACAATTTTATCTTCTGACTCATCTATTGAATTTTAAACTTCTACTTTCACAATATTTATTTCCAAGATCTTTTTTATCCCTTCAGAATATTTATTTCTCACTCTTTTTAGAAATAATATCCCTTTTGTGTTTCATGGGTTCAATATTTCCATCTCTGAGGACATTAATTGTAGGTGTTTATTTTTTAATTACTGTATTAGGTCTTTTTCCTGCATTATTTGTTTATTTTATGTTTTATTATGTTATCTATCATTTGGTCTGTTTTCTGCCTAGATGCTAGTGTTTTTCCTAAACTATTTTTAGTGTGATCCTTTGCTATTAGTTCATATTTTGAAGTGAGACAAAAAATTGATAACTCTTAGTATGGGTGGGGCTGTCAAATAGTGAGCTTCACTGTGGAGTTGTCTGACTGGGCTGCTTCATTGAGAGGAATGATCTCTGTCTGTTATCACCTGTAAGTGGTTTATCTTAGCCTAGTCAGTTACCCCAGTGAGGAAACTTTCAGGGTCCCATCTGTGAGTTCTAAGTCTTATTGCCAGTTTGCTGTAACTGAAGAGGGGAGGAGGCTGGATATCTCAGTATTTTGTAGGTAGCCATCCACTTAATTTATATGTTCGTGCCTACCTCTGACCCCTTCTGCTGTATCTGGTATTCATGACCGTGACTCAACTTTTTAAGACTATAGCCAATAGGACAGGCTCAACTGCTATAACAAATAAGCACCAAAATGTATAACATCTCAAACACAATTGGATTTTATTTCTTATTCTTTAAGAATCTAAAATACGTTTTCCTCACTGGCCAGCTGCTCTTTTGTACTTGGTGAATGAAGGGCCAGGTTTCTTCTACCCTGTGGCTTTGCTGTCCTGGAGCCCCATCATCAACAGCATCTAGCCAGCACAAAGGCAGAATTTTCAAGATGAAAATGTTTAATAGATGGTGAAGATTAGAATTCATAACTGCAACTTAGAGAGGAAAAATGTTGGTAAGTGCTGCTAGGTGTCTAAGACGATCTCATATTCCCTTTCTCACCGGTTTTAATTATCCTCAGAACTCTGTGAGTTAAGCTTTGTCTTCAAGCCAGAAAGGTGAAGGTATGAGAGAGGATTTTCTCAGGTTCACTGTTGCTGAGTGGCACATCCAGGCTTTAAAGCCAGATTGTAAGACCAGTTCCGTGTCCCATTTGTTTTTAAAACATGTGTGATCTTTTAGGTAATTTTAGATTTGTGGTGGAAAATGGCCTCTAAACAGCATTTAAAAAGAAATATTTTTCTGTGAGGGAAAAAAAATATCCCTAAACTGCCTTGAAGATACCTAGAGTAAGGCTTTTGAAAATTATTGTGTATATCCTAATTTTCTGACAGCTGATCCAAAGGACAGGTAGTCCAAAGCTAGATAAATCTGGATTATTAAAATAAGATAATGTGGTGCCATAGAGCAACGGGGTAGTTATTTTAGATTGGGTGGACTGAGGTTGCCTGTCTAAGGAGGTAACAGGAAACATGTATCATAGGTACAAAAGTGTAAATAATATATATCTGTACACTTTTAAGAAGAAGAAAGTGAATGCCTGTGCCCCTGCTACCACACTTAAGGAAAATATTGTCAGTAACTTAGAAACCCAGTACATGTCCCTTTTTGGTCACATTCTACTCCCTACAGTATCCTCCCTGACCTCCCTCAAGTAACCATGATCCCAAATTTATGTTAATCATTCCATTCATTTTTTAAAAAATTTAACAATATTTGTATATAATTGTAAACAATATATTGTTTTGGTTTGCCTATTTTAGAACTTTCTATAAGTGGAATCAGACTATTATTCTGTCACTTGATTCTTAGCTTTGACATGAAGTTTTTGAAAATCACCTATTTTGATGTAGTTGCAGTAATTAATACATTTCTCTGCTGCATGCAGTTTTATTTTTTGGAGGTATCTTTATTTGTCCATTGGACTATTATAGACAAAGATACTTTTAAGTTTTTAATATGTATTTTTTGTTTTCTTGAACCTTTTTTGTGCCATAAAACCCTTTTGAAATTTTGTGAGCCTGTGGAACCCTAATAGTTTTGTATGATTAGCAAATACATAGGGTTACAAAGAAAACAGATTGTATTGAGCTAGAATCATCAAAATATACAA